CTCTTTCTCTCTCTCTCTCTCTCTCTCTCTCTCTTTTCTTTCTTTCTTTCCTTCTTTCTTTCTTTTTAATATTCTTGGCCTTGTTTAAAGTCTCTGTGGAATCTGAGTTTCTGCAGAGATAGCCTCATGTTTTCAAAAATTAATCTGGTGGCAGAGAAAATTTGGAGTTAGTTTACCTTCAAGGGGGAATTGACCAAGATTGTGAAGTATTTTCTAAGCCTGGGCGTGTTAATGGTTTTAGGAAACAGATGCCTCTGACACTTCCCCTGTCACTCCATATCCCCTGTTGTTGGGAGCTGTGGAGAGCAGGAATTAAAATGAAGAACTGGTTACTCTTAGCATCCTCCTTGCACTGGAGGGGTACTTAGAGGTATGGGGAAGTAGAAACTAGAAGGGTTTTGTTGTTGTTGTTGTTGTTGAGATGGTGCTGGAGACCCCAAAGCAATTAGTTGCTTTAGAAAAGGCTTCAGAGTAGACTGAATGTGCAGGCTGAGGCTGGGGGTTGGGGTGCTGCGGGGCTGAGGAGACTGGGCTCTGGGAATCAGAGGGTGAGACTGTATGGGAAGTTTCCTTAAGGAAATGCGCCTGAATTTAAGGTAGTTGGAAAGCCATAATTTGGAGGAACTCCCAAGCATTTAAGGGATGAGGGTGGAGTGAGGTGGCACTTTGGGCACCTAGCTGGAAACCGCTCTGTAATCACAGGCCCTGTGGTGAGCTGGAGAGATCGTATTCTGTGTCCTGGGAAACTCTCATTGTTCAGAAACTACTGTGGGAAGGCGTGTGCTGGGTGACTCTGTCCTGACAGACCTCTGTGAACCAGCTGTGCCAGTTCTCCTGAGAGGACTTCATCTTTCAGACGGGCAGGAGGACTCTGAATGTTCTTTATATGGGAGTGCTGGGAAGGGAAGAGCATTGTCCCTTTAAATGATATGGGAGCGGGGAATGGAAGTGCTGGGTGGAAGAGGCTGTGGTCCCTGGCTAGAACTCCACCCTCAGGGACCTAGATGTGGACAAGCATTTTTGCCCAAATGTTGCATTTCCCAATACCACCCTGGCCTGCCACATACTCATTCTGTGCCTATAAAACCCCCAAGACCCTAGCAGGCACACACACAAGCTGCCGGACAATGAGAGGAGCAATTTGGCAGAAGACAGAAGGGGCTGGATATCAAGAGGGGCACATCAGTAGAGGACAGCAGGGGCAGCTGGACATTGCTAGGAACACACCAACCTGCAGAACAATGTGGAGTTTGCCTGGGGCGGTCAGAGAAGGGTTGGGCCTTTGAGCAGCCAACTCCAGGGGAAACCCCTCCCCTTCTGGCATCCCACAGCTGCTGAGAGCTACCTCCACTCAACAAAACCTTGCACTCATTTTCCAAGCCCAGGTGTGATCCAATTCTTAAGGCAAGAACCTGGGATACAGAAAGTCCTCTGTCCTTCCGACAAGGTAGTGGGTCTAATTGAGCTGGTTAACACAAGCTGCCTATAGATGGCAAAACTAAATTAAAAGAGCACCCTGTAACATATGCCCAGTGGGGCTTCAGGAGCTGTAAACATTCACCCCAGACACTGCCTTGGTGTCGGGGACCCACAGCCTGCCTGTCTGTATGCTCCCCTAGAGGTCTGAGCAGTGGGGCACTAAAGAAACAAGACACACCCCCATTGCATGTCTGGTAAGGGGAAGGAGGGAATTTTCCCCATTTCATTACCATAAGCCTATACACAGGGTTTACAATGATGACTATGGTGGCACCTGGAGAATTTGATTCTGGCCCATGGAGGCAAGGAGTGGCTGGATATGAAGTGTCTGAAGTCAGAGTTTAGTTGACTTTTGATTGGAGCCGCGGTAGAAAGAGCATCCGCAGCCTTTGGAGTCACACAGGAGTGAGTTTACTCTCCTACTTACGTATTTACCGGGAGGGCCTTGAACAAGTTCCTTGCCATCTATCAGCCCTAGTCTCCTCATGTAAAAAACTGAAGACAGCAGCCTTGAACTCCCCCAGTTGGCAGTGATCAGCAAAGACACTTGGCGCAAAGCACAGCAGGTGTTCGGCGGCGGACCTTCTCTTCCCTTTCTTGTTTTCCTTTCTGATCCTTAATTCCTCATTTTGCTCCATCTCCTCCCCAGGCTACTGTACCTTTCACATTGACGTTCATGATGGACTCTCTGTGAATGGCGCCAAAGACATCGATGATAGAGGCTGTGTGGATGACGACCGTGATGCCCTGGCAGGCTCTCTTCAGGCATGACTCGTCCAGAATGTCTCCTTCCAGCATCGTCAGCTTGGTCTTGCTCTGGAGCTCTGTGTGAACACAGGTCAGGTCATTGGAGGGATTTCTGGATCTGGCTGGGAAGTTTCCTGGTAAAGGTGATGTTATATAGGTATTCAAGGATGGTTAGAGTCAGGGTGTTGGAGTGCAGGGTGTACATTTCATGAAAGGAACAAGTAAACAAAGGCACAGAAGTCAGCATGTGTAGCAATTTATTGGGAAAGAGCAAACTTCTGCTTCTACCACATCTCATTTCAGAAAAGTAATCTGAGCAATGAGCTGTCAGGTGTGCCTGGAACGTAAGCATTGCTAGAGTCCCGGGAGACTCAGCAAAATTTTTAAGGAGGGTCAGGTGATTGTGGCGAGTTAGAGATAAGAGGGAAAAGTTTGAATTTAATTCTGTAGGTAATCCAAGATCATGATTTTGGGTGTAGCGCACCATGTCAAAGAAAACGCCTATTTTTTGGAATAAGTAGAGAAACAGGCAGGGCGTGGTGCCTCACCCCTATAATTCCAGCACTTCAGGAAGCTTAGGTGGGCAGGTTACCTGCTCCCAGGAAGTCAAGACAAGCCTGGACAGCCTGGTAAAAGCCCGTCTCTACTAAAAATACAAAAATTAGCCCAGCATAGCGGTGTGTGCCTATAGTTCCAGCTGCTTGGGAAGCTGAGGCAGGAGGATGAATGGAGCCCAGGAGGTGAGTGTGGCAATTACCGGAGGTCATGCCTCTCCACTTCAGCCTTGGTGACACAGCAAAACCCTGTTTCAAATAGAGAGAAAGAGAGAAAGAGAGAGAGAGAGAGAGAGAGAGAGAAGCAGAGTTGTGAAGTAGAAAGTTAACCTTGGCTTGAGGATATAAAATGGACTGGTATGGGGGATATGAGAAAGTAAGGTAATCAAGATTAATCAGAGCATCTGTGCCAAAGTTTCGATGAGGACTGGAACCAGGGTCTAGCAGTGGATACAGAGAAGGGAAGAGACACACCAGGTTTGAATTTCAGACCTTACTTAGAAGGTCCTGATATCTGTTAGATCTGGGCTGAGAGGAAAACAGAACAAACTCACCCCTACGGTCTCCTGCTTGGGCACCTGGGAGGAGAGTGGAACCATTAGTAGGGAATTGTGAATGGGCTTAAATGAGGAATTTCCATGAAAAACTCTCATCAGACACCAAAAGCAGATGGCAATGCTGAAAGTTAGCCACCAAGGAGCTAATATTCCAGCTGTCTAGCTGAGGGCAGTAGTTACAACTTCAGTGTCTTCAGGCTCCTCTGAAATCCACAGGAGGTGATGCTGCCAGGAAGGCTGTCACCTGGAATTAGCGCACACAATGAACGCTGTGCTGCATGGAGCTTGGATGAATACTCTACACTTGGTGCTTTATAATCTGCATATGACTCACAGCCTGCTTATTTCCTTTTACAGCTGTCTTATGAGATAGGTTTTCTGGGATCAGAGAGATTAAGGGAAAGAGCTGAGGTCATGTTTCTAGTGAAGGCTCAAACCTTCCCAGTCTGCCTCCGAGCCAGTATACCTCTACACCAGGTACAGGACTGGCTGTCTATCATTAGCTTTTCTGAGTAAGAGTAGGAATAAGCCAGTTCAACTGAAATTGGCAAGCAAGGCCAATTTCATTATCTGAAGTGAGAGTGATTTCATTATCTGAACAGTGTGCGTAAAACTCAGAGTGAAAAATTCAAGGCTGGAGAAATTCCTTCCTGGGGTACAGGCAGGACCATTGGCTCTCCCGATGCCTCTGCCGTGTTTTGTCTACTCCCAGCCCCTTCCATTGTCAGGGAGCTCCAGGAAGGCCCTGCAGTGGGGGAGGCAGGGAAGAGGCTGCTGGGGAGGAGGTGGTGGCAGCCTGAGAGTGGAATTTTCTCTGGTTGTATTTCCACTTCTGCCCTTCCTGCTCCCTTCCTCTGCTTCTCCTTTGCTGCTAACTTCAGACAGACTGGCTCAAAGGAATTGCTATTTCAAAGCGGAAGCCTAAAGCCAAGAGCAAAGGACTCTTCCCCAATGAGTCCACAGAAATCTAGAGAGACCAGGAAAAGGGACATTGTGGATGGAGCCATAGTTCCCTCCTTCCTCAAGCAGCTAGACGAGCTGCTGTTTAAGAGCACAGATGCTGTGCTAGACTGCATGGGTTCAAGTCCAGCTTTGCCATGTTCTAACTCTGGGACTTTTGACAAGTTAATTAACCTCTCTGTGTCTGCCTCCTCGTTTGTAAGAAAGGGAGATAATAATATTAACAATCTCAAAGGGCTGTTATGAGCAGCAAATGAGTCAGCACATGCAAATCATGTAGCACTGTACCTTGCACAGAAAGAACACTGAAAGGTTTCTCTGGTCTTATCTTCATACAGGCCCCTGCCCATCTATTACACCTCCTGCATTTTCACCATAAAAGAACTATTCCTCTAGGCCAAGCATTGCTTTTTGCTGGTATTAGGTGTTAGACTGCAAATATTGATGAGACACAAGGATTGCAAACATTTAATTTTGATCTTGTGTTAATATTTCTCAAAGACACCATCAGAACTCAGGGCGGAGGAAATTGGAAGAGGTCACAGAAGAGTGAAAGATGAGCACAACACTGGGTGTGGTGGTCCCTGAGTCCTGCCATGAGGGGCTTCTCTGTGGGCAGAGCATGACCCTCTGCATAGCCAGAGCCCACATGTCGACACACAGTTCCCCCAGTCCTCTGGGTTGAGGAGGAGGACAGGGAATTGGACACACAGGGAGGCAAAGGGAGAGACTGAAGACCCACTTTGCCAAGCATCAGCTCCAGGGTAAAGTGATAAAGCTTCTGGATGAAGCTCTGGTCTGAGCTCTGGTACATATTAATCAGACGGCCGGGGGAAGTTGCTTTGTTTCTGGACCTTGAGGGTTCATTGTCCTGTTGGATATGACCCCTTTTTTACCTTCCTCATGGTGTTATTTGCACGAGGAGTTGCTACAGCAAATTCTGCAATTTCTTGGGGGTATTGAGCAACAGAGACAAACAGTTTTTAAAAAGTCGTATATGGGCCAGGCGTGGTGGCTCACGCCTATAATCCCAGCACTTTGGGAGGCCGAGGCGGGTGGATCACAAGGTCAAGAGGTTGAAACCATCCTGGTCAACATGGTGAAACCCCGTCTCTACTAAAAATACCAAAAAAAAAAAAAAAAAATCAGCTGGGCATGGTGGCACGTGCCTGTAGTACCAGCTACTCAGGAGGCTGAGGCAAGAGAATTGCTTGAACCCAGGAGGCGGAGGTTGTGCTCAGCCAAGATCACGCCATTGCACTCCAGCCTGGGTAACAAGAGTGAAACTCCGTCTCAAAAAAAAAAAAATCGTATATGAAAAATGGACATGAAGCCTGCCTGGCCTCATATTGCCTCTTACTCTGTTTCTGCTCTGTGCTATGCACTTGTGCACGCTCTCTCTGTCTCATACTGACTCCTTCTCTCACTCTTTCTCATGCATTCTCCGTCTTTCTGATTCTCTCTCTTTGATTTTCTCTCTCTCTCTCTCACCCATACACACATACGCACACACACCCACACACAGACTTAAACACTCATCTTTACCTTCACTTCCTTTTATTTTGCCTTCACTAAGGATGCCAAGGATGCTATTAAACCAAACAAAGCCCGGGGCAGTCTAGAGAGACAGGGACCCACTGGTCAAGTCTTCGGGTAAATCGTGTCCTTCGTGAATGTTGCAAAGCAATTGCCAAGACGAAATGCTCCAGAAAAAATAAAAGTTGTAGACAAGAAAGAGAAGTAATGTGGGATTTTCCAGATGAGAAGAAGAGGCACCTGGAGTCCCAGGTGGCTGCCTCTCAAGTTCTGGGTCAGGGCCAGAATCCAGTCTACACACACCCTGTCCAATATCTTTCACTCTATGCCATTGCATACTATTTTTTGATGACGTGGGTGTGAGATTGGATTAGATTTGACTACAACTTTCTGTCACTTGCTAGAAAAAGTCCATGTTTCTGCACCCGTGCAGGGTTTAAAATGAATCAAGTTTACTCACCAGAAAATTCATCCCCAAATTCCGGTCTGAAGGCCTTGTCCAAGGCCCTGATCTCCTTCAGCTCCTTCTCCTCCATCAACAGGCGGATGATCCTCCGACCCAGAAACCCTCCTGCTCCCGTCACAAGGCAGCTCCAGCCCGTCATGGCCAATCCAAGGTAGCAGGAAGCACTCGCCAGGAAACAAGATGCCGAGGAGCAGATCTGATTCTAGGGTGACCTTGAAGAGGGCTAAAAACAGAGGTCAAATGGTTATTCACTCACACAGATGCCTTATTTTCCTCCACCCCATGTTTTTGCAAAAATTTTACGTCTCCACCATTACCAGGAGCAGCTGAAAGACAATGAAGAAGCTCTAACTATTAGAACTGCTAACAGACAGTTGGAACAGTTGGATGGTTACAAGCTGGACAGACGCGTCGGGGTGCTGGTCACTTTATCCTCTATGGCAGCCCTTGGAGGTTTATGCTCTGTGGCTTCTGGCTGCCCCTTATCACTTTGAACTCCTGCCATGTACTCATCGCTCCTGCCTACTACAGGATCTCTTTTCTCAGAAGAATAGTGACCTTTAGTTCCTATCCCTAATTCTTCCCAGGAACAGGAAGGGAAGTCCAATCCTAAGGCTGCAGAGTGTTAGAGTCTTAGGTTTAGCCTTAACACGACACTGGTAGGTTGGTACCAGCTGTCTGGGATCTGCAATCTGTGATCTTAAACTAGACTGGGAGAAATCTCCAAGTGCAATGTGAACTTTGCCTTTGTGCGGTAACCATGTTTGGAGGGAAATCTGCCTTAGCCCATTATCCCCTCTTTCAGAGTGCCATTTGAAATGCGACTGCTGTCTTGCAAAGTTTAGAAATTTGCAATGGTGGCAGCTCCAATCACTAAGTTTTATGGAGGTGACTTTCTTCCTACTTAAAATATCCACAACCTCAATTGTAGTGTTCCCCTGGAGAGCCCTGGGTTCCTAAATGAGGAACATCATTGAAGGAAGGCTATCTAGTGATAGCCACTTAATGATATGGCCTGTACCACAAGAATGGGGATTTGTGGTTGTATTTCCCAATGACTCTTATCGTAGATGTTTGAACTTTTCCCAAATTTTTGGCTGCAAAGCCATTCTCAGCAAATTTCTGGCCTGAAGATGCTGTGAATGCCTCTTGAGCCTATACCTGATAACTGGCCAAATTTTACCACCATAAGCTCTGCAAGACACTTTCCTCTACTTACAAAAATTGAGATAAATTTATATTCATTAAAACGCCCAGATCTCAAGTGCTCAGTTCAATGAACCTTGGCAGTTATGTATGCCCATGTAAGTACCACCTGAAAAATATATAGGTCATTTCCTTCATTGAAGAAAGTTCTTTATTGCCTGCTGTTAGTTAATCCCCTGCTCTGAACCCAATCTACCTGGTAGGAAACTACTTTCTGATTTTTATTCCCATGGAATTCTCATTTTATTCCTAAATTTTTCTTCTAAGATCTCTGTGGTTCTGGATATATATTTAAATGTAAAATCATTTTGAACTGAATTTTTGTGCATGGAGTACAGAAGAATTGATTGTCTCTATTGTTTGTTCATTTTTCTATTTCATGATTCCTTTATTTTTGTTATTGGCTTATATTTATTGACTTTGAGTTTCTTTTCTAGTCTTCTTTTTCAGGGTTCTTATTATAAAAGCATATATAATTGACTTTAGTCCTTTGCTCATTTCCACTATAGGCATTTAAAGTTGTAATTTTTCTCTAAACACTATGTTAGCTGTACCCAGCATTTTGATGAGTTGGGTCATCATCATTCAGTTACTGATGTTTTGAATTTTTTATTGTGAGCTCATCTTTGACCCAAGCGACCCATACCAACAGTGTTTATTGCTTGTTTTCTAAAATTGGGGATTTTCTAGATATCTTATTGTAATGGATTTCCAATTAAATACTATTGTGGCCAGAGCATGTACTCTGCATGATTTTGATCTTTGGATATATATTGAGACTTGTTTTATGGTGCAGCATATGGTCTTTGTTGGTGAAAATGCCATAAACACTCGAAAAGAATGCTTTCTGCAGTTGTTGGAAGTAATACTCTACAAATGATTTCGTTGAAACCCCACTGTGGGTCTTCCCCTCCTTCCGTGTTGTAGACATTCAACTACTACCTGGGACCTGACTAGCAACGCTTCAAACCCACTTGCCTAGAAGAGGTTGGCCCTGGGCTGCAAGATGTAACAGCTTGTTCTCTGAAGCTCTCAGAACTAGCTACAAGTGCTGGGTCTTGCTGAGATGTGTGGAGCACTACCTGAGACCACTCAGGTGCATCACATGCCTTTGCCTGCTGTAGCAGATGCTGGAGTGCACCTTACAGACCCCTAATCACCTTCAGGATGGGGCCCGACATTCCCTCAGCTGCTGAGAATTCTGGAGGCTGATAGATTTCAGCCAGTATCTCTCAGAGTCTCTGAGTGGAAGCAATAAATATAAGCCCTAAAGAAAGTGAGAAATTAAACAAAGGGCAAGACTGATGGGGGCCACACTACTAAATTTCTTTTGTTTTTGAACAGCTTTACTGAGGTATAATTGACATATCATAACATTCTGTACTGTTGAATTATTTTCAGTAAAATTTTAGACTTGTGTGGCCATCACCATGATCCTGCTTTGCACCATTTCTATCATTCCTAAGAAATCTCTCATGCTCATCAGTCACCACCCCTTTTCGCTAGTTCCCAGCTCCAGGCAGCACCCTATTGACTTACCGACTGTACAGATTTTCCTTTTCTGGACACCATATAAATAGAATCACGCAATATGTGGTCTTTTGTATCTGTTTTATCTCACTTAGCTTAATGTACTTGCATGGTTCACGTATGTGGCAGCATGTATCAATATTTTATTCCTTTTAGGTGCCAAATCCTATTAAATTGTATGGGTAGCTCTCATTACTTTATTCATTCATCAGTTGATAGATATTTGATGTGTTTCCACTTCATGGACTATTATGGATAAAGCTATTATAAATATTCACCTTCATGTTTTGTGTGGACATAGCTTTTTTTTCTTTTGGGCTGTTAGCTAGGAGTGAAAATGCTAGATCATATGGTAAATGTATCTTCAACATTGTAAGAAACTGCCACACTGGTTTCCAACATGGCTGCATATCCCATCAGCAATGTGTGAGTATTTCAATTTTTCACATCATTGTTTTTTTCACTTCCTCCAGGTGTTACTGCCCTTTTTTATTATAGCATTCTAGTGGGGAAGAAATGGTGTCACACTGTACTTTTGATTTGCATTTCCCTGCTGACTGATGAGGCTGACCATCTTTCCATGTGCTTTATTGGCCATTTCTACACCTTTTTGATGAAATGGTTATTCAAATATATTGCCCATTATAAAATTGGGTTATTTATATTTTTGTTGTTAGTTGTAAAAGTGTATTTTATATTCTGGGTACAAGTCCTTTATCAAATATATGATTTGAAATTTTTTTTTCTCAGTCTATGGATTATCTTTTCATTTTCTTATTGATGACTTTTAAATGCCAGTGTTATTAGTTTTGATCATGTCTCATTTTTCAACTGCTTTTTAACCAGGAAAAGTTGGGTTTTTGCCTTATGAATATGATAATCTATATTTTCTTCTAAGAGGTATACAATTTAGCCCTTAAATTTAAGCCTATAATTTATTTTGAGTGAATTTTTGCCAATGTGTGTGTTAATGGCCTAAATTCATATGGCCAATTAATTTTGACAATAGTAAATTCCATAGGGAAAAAGATGGTTTTTTAAACAAGTGATGCTGAGACAACTGAATTGTCCACATGCTCAGGGAATGTCAGCATGCTATGTCAAGTGTTGCTCATCTGAGTCACCACCTTTTGGCATCAGAGCATGTGAAGAATTTCTAAATACAATCATTATGGGTTAAATAATATGCTGCAGCCTTCTGCTTCTCCCATTCGACCAACAGCTGCATTTTCTTGTGCAGCACCAGCCATGTCCCTGAGACACCATGGTGAAGGTGAAAGTCAGAGTCAACGGATTCGGCCCTTTTGGGTGCCTGGTAACCAGGGCTACTTAAAACTCTGGTAAAGTGGCTATTGTCACCATTCATGACTCCTTCGTTGACCTCAAATCCATGGTCTACATGTTCCAGTATGATTCCACCCATGACAAATTCCTTGGCACCGTCAAGGCTGAGAATGGGAAGCTTGTCATCAATGGAAATCCCACCACCATCTTCCAAAAGCTAGATTCCACCAGAATCAAATACGGCGATGCTGGTACTAAGTACATCATAGAGTCCACGGGCGTCTTTACTACCGTGAAGGCTGCGGCTCACTTGCAGGGGGGAGCTAAAAGGGTCATCATCTCTAAACCTTCTGCTGACACCCTCATGTTCATGATGAGTGTGAACCATGGGAAATATGACAACAGCCTTAAGATCATCAGCAGTGCTTCTTGTACCGCCAACTGCTTAGCACCTTTGGCCAAGGTCATTGATGACAACTTTGATATGGTGAAAGGACTCATGACCACAGTCAATGCTATTATTGCCACCCAAAAGACTGTGGATGTCCACTCTGTGAAACTGCGGCATGACAGCTGCAGAGCTCAAAGGAACATTATCTTTACATCTACTGGCACTGTCAAGGCTGTGGCAAGTATATCAATGAGCTGAACAAGAGGCTTACTGGCATGGCATTCTGTTACCCCACTGCCACCAAGTTGGACACGGACCTGACCTGCCATCTGTAAAAATCTGCCAAATATGATAACATCAAGAATGTGGTGAAGCAGGCATCAGAGGGTCCCCATACGGGCATCCTCTGCTGCATGGAGAACCAGACTGTCTCCTCCACCTTAACCATTGACACCCACTCTTCCACCTTCGATCCCAGAACTGGCATTGCCCTCAATGACCACTTTCTCAATCTCGTTTTCTGAGATGACAATGAATTTGGCTATAGAAACAGGATGGTGAACCTCACAACTCACATGGCCTCCAAGGAGTAAGACCCCCGGACCACCAGCCCCAGCAGAGCATGAGAGGAAAAGAGAGGCCCTCAGCTGCTCAGGAGTCCCTGCCACACTCAGTCCCCCACCACACTGAGAATCTCCCCTCCTCACAGTTTCCATGCAGAACCCTGAAGAGGGAGGGGCCTAAAGAACCCCACCTTGTCATGTATCACCAAAATGTCTCCTCTGTGCTCAGAAAAAAATGCTATATTAGGAAAACTCACAAAGATTACTGATCAGCAAAAGAATAGATGGCATGACTTAGATGGCATGATTTCCCCATCCTCCTATTTTATACTGATGCATAAATGGTCAGGAAATGCTGGGCTCACAATGGGAGTATTCATTCCAGTGTAGGAACATTAGTCTCCCTTATTATAATTTTTTATCAAGTAAACACATGGACGCAGCTTTATCAGTGGAGGAACACATGAGCTATTGGTGTACAATCTAGATTTAGGTGCCAGCTGTTCACAAGACTGGGAAAATCAACTGCCCAGCACCTGGAGTCCTTGGGACTCATGCAAAGGGTTTCCCTTTTCTTAGGGGAGAAAGCCACCCATTCTACAGAGAGCTATACCAGGCACAGTTATTTATGCTGGGAAAAGGAAAATCCCTTTTCTTGGCCAGCTTACTAAACTTCTGGGTTACTTTAGGATAATTACATCCCTTGTGCTTGAGTCCTAGGGAGGTCCAGTTGGACATAGAATGATCTTTAAAGGTACAGGACTAGATGAAATAAGCTTAGGTAAAAATATTCATGGATAATGGGGAAAGTTTCTGGACTGAATCCTGGAGTAGACATATCAATATTTAGAAGTGGAACAGAGGGCTGGGCGCAGTGGCTCACGCCTGTAATTCCAACACTTTGGTAGGCCGAGGTGGGTAGATTACCTGAGGTCAGGAGTTTGCAACCAGCGTGGCCAATATGGTGAAATCCCGTCTCTTCTAAAAGTACAAAAATTAGCTGGGTGTGGTGGTGGGCGCCTGTAATTCCAGCTACTCAGAAGCTGAGGCAAGATAATCGCTTGAGCCCGGGAGGCGGAGACTGCAGTGAGCTGAGATTGCGTCACTGCACTCCAGCCTGGATAACAAAGAGTGAAACTCTATCTCAAAAAAAAAAAAAAAAAAAAAAAAGAGAAACAAAAAACAGTGGAACAGGAGAAGAGATAGCTAAATATACTGAGTAGGAGTTGGTGGCGGGCAGAAGG